AGAAAGGGCAACGCATTCAGTCTTTGTTTACATAGACTTGGATATCTTATTAGTGGTTATGTCTATGTTTTCTTTGCGATTTTCTTTCATTGCATGTCTACCATTGTTAGGTCGCGCCACCCGCACAACGCGCGTGACACAGCCTTTGGCTCTGATCGGCGGATCCTCAGGCCTGAGGCCCGATGCGAACGTCAGTGAAGCGGCCTTCAAGTGGACCGTTATTTTTTTACTATATTTTTTTATTATGATCTCTGGGATGATGACAAAGTCAGGAAACTGAGCCAGAAACCTTCACGAGAAACAAGGGAAGAAACGGGTGGAAAGCCAATGTGAATCTGAAAGCTTGAAACTATGAGTCAGTCGGAGGAGAGGGGGGTGAGTCAGGAAGCCCCAGAAGAAGTGAAGCGCTCCTCCCCCGTCTCCTCCTTCTTTCTTGCTCCACTGGAGAAACACAGAAGAAGTGAAGTCCTAAACAAAGCTCTTAAACACCTGCAAGAGACCCTAGTGAAGACATGTGAAGACATAAACCAAACCCACGAAATGCAAAAAAAGTGAAGCCCAAAACCAAGCTTCAAGAAGGGAAGGCCTAAGCGAAGCCCAAAGAAACCTAAAGAAGTGAAGCCCCAAACCAAACCCAACAAAACCCCAAAGAAGCCCTACCCCAAGCCCAAAGAAACCCTAAAGAAACGAAGACCTAAACCAATATAACCCAAACCCAACAGAACCAAAAAGAAGTGAAACCCCAAGCTAAGCCCAATGAATCACCTACCCTCCTCCTTCTCCACCTTCTTCCCCTTTTTTCTTTCATCGGTCACTATCCGTTATCCTGCTTGCTCTTGTTCTCATTGTTGTTATTGTCAGGTGGTGGTTTCTAGGTTTCCTGACTCCGACAAAAAGGTTTCCTGACTCGGACGATCTGGTTTCCGGACTCACGGTTTCTAACTCTGGTGTAGGTTTCCTAACGAAGGCCGTGGATGGTGTTTGCATGTGTTTGCTGAAGCTCCCTTCATTCATGGCCTGCCTGAAGGCTGGTGATGGCACAGCCTTTGCAGATGTCTCGCCAGCTGCACCTGCACTTGGTCTACTGAATGAAGGAACTTCGTGTTCAGGCCCATGTAAGCTATGATAGGAACTATATAAATAAGCCAAGACCAATTGGTTCAGTCTGCATATCTTGCAACCTTCGTCTCTAACTTGCACTCCAGCTTAGAGTAAATGATACAACTGTTTGGAGATTCCTCAATGCCTTCTGCTTTTGGTACCGGAATTCGAGATCAATATATACTCATTTGGATCTGTGAATGCAAACACAAATGATGTAATGTTAAACACACGCCATCACTGCAGTCTCGAACCATAATGTGGCAAACGGAGACACTATTTCTGGACACATGCTCATACGACAACAAGTTCTGGTAAGGCCTTTGCCATCAGCTTTCCCCATGGACCTGACTTCAAACATTTACTGTAATCCAAGCTTCCAGTGTGAAATGGCGGAGCTTCGACTTCCATGCCTTTTCAATGACCAATATGACCATTGCTCAACCAGCAACGTTCCCTTCCCTCTAAACTCTCCCTGCAGCTCACTGTCCAAGCTCATGGCCATGACCCTTCTTGAGCAGACTCCTGGCGGTGAAAAGGTGCCAGGTATGCCAAGAGATCATGGTACACACTACAAACAGTTTTAAAAGATTTACCACATGTGGATAGCATGGGCAAACTACCAAACTAGCAGGTAGCCTCCCGTTTGCCATGTCATTCTTTCTGCGCCCGAGCCTGATATGGTGCCCCCCACCACTCATCCTCATAGCCTATTGTGGACAGGTTCGCGCCCTCCACAAATACCACACATGCTGGAGCTGGAGGAAGCAAGAAATATGTCAGAAGCACGCAAAAACCACTACGGTCACTAGGATTTGCGTGGATGGTTGCATGCCACTTTGTACGAACTCAGGCTATGAATGCAATCGAACAAAACTGACCCAACTTCTTGTCCTGCCTCAATTAACAATAAACCATCACAAGATCACTATGCAAATATAGTGCAGCATATATGTATATATTGAATATATTGTATTATACGATATACACATCATTACACATACACCGAATAGAGACAATCCCCGTCTTCTTCTCTCTCACTCTCTGGACTGACAAACTGTGCCCTCATAAGGGTTTTACCGTTCTGCGCCGCTCAATATGCTGTAGTTTCATGAGTGCAACTGCCAAAGAATGTGTTGAAGTCCTTCTTGAAGATGGGTACAGCTTTGTGTTAATTTCCCTAGATCTGGCCTTGCCAACTTCCATCCCAGCTGGCTTCACCCCAGCTGGCATCCCATCCACCATCGCCCCAAGTGGTATCCCAGCTACCTGGACGTGCCGGCCGGCAACGGGTACTGGGATGATTCCAATTCCGCTTGAAACCGAGTCTTTTGCTAAAGGCTCAAGGTTGATCGACATGAAGGCTGCCTTACCCATGGAGGGAAGTCTTGAACAGTGTGTTTCCCAGGCTTATGTTATGCACTTTGTGAAACCCTTTGCACATTGCAGCCCAAATTGTTGAAAGTGACAAGGTGAAATTCGCACTTGATCCTGACTCGGGATGACTCGGGCGTATTGGAAGCCGTTTCTCTTCTGTCTAGCTTCCGAAGCATATTTCTAGACTCTAGACAAAGTATTATCGGGAGTTGTCTCAAGCATCTTGACTCCTGAAATGAACCGAATAGGCCGCAAAGAAATGTCGCTTGAGACTGACATCTTTAAACATCCTGCCTTTGCCGCTACCCCAAGGCCTAGGATGATTTTGTGGTCGAGGAATGGTGTGGCAAATCGTGGTCACTTAAGGAGCAGACACCATGCTACGCCATGCAATGGTGGTACTAAAACGATAGAAAGGGAAGTCAAAGTCAATATTAATAGTGACGGGATGCGAAGGGTGTTGTTCCAAACAGGAGTTTGCACACAAACTAGCCACTACAACTCATTGGCACATAGCGGCAAATAACTTGCTCTGTGTTGTGTCATGTGTTCATATATTATGTAATATATAATATAAGTTTAAAACAGATGCGTCTTTTGCGTGGCAGCAAAGCATCCCACCAAGGATCTGACTGCATCCGCCAGCTCGAAAGCTCCGAGCTACGCGTGAGGGCCGAGAAGGCAAAACGCCAAAGATGTCCTATTTGGTATGGCTATATATGGCTGCTTATTTTGGGCTGTGAGCCCAATGACACAGGAACCTAGCTGTAAGTTGTCAAAGTCACTGAAGGTTTGAAAGTGCCCAAAGCCTCATTGGGGTCCAAAACATTATATTGATGTTGCGATAGACCAGGGTACTTTGTGGGCACAGCTGGGGTCACAAACAATGGATGCCTGATGGATACTTGAATGAAGCCGACAAATGGTTCCTGCTTCGTATTGGCTTCTGTTCAGATCTAAGGGCGTCCTAAGGCGATTTAAAAACAGAAGAGCTCTCAGGATTCTCCTGAAACTGTGGGCGGTTCGGCTCTTCCCGCGTCGTCAGTTTGCGTTTCCATAGTTGCTTGAGTGGATAAAGCGGCTGCTTGAGCCGAAGCTGCGCAGGTGCTAGTGCTTCAAGGCACAAGATTGAATTTTCTTGTCTATGGCACCATTTCAAAGTCTCAAAGTCCACATCCCCCAAAAAGCGGTTGTGGTATACAATTGTGTAGCCGATCGAACGAACAGAATTATCTGACATGCCTATTCATAGCAGGGTAATTGGCTTACCAACCTCATTTTGTTACAAGAAACACATTTGAGCAATATCATAATCTCATACCTTAATCAGTACGTATCCAATTCTTTCATGACGACCCAGCTGGATTGCTGATTTCCACGGTTCCGAGTTCAGGCAGCTTTCCAGCACCTCTTGTCGAAACTCCCTACCAAACTCGACCATATTGTGTGACACCCAGCTGGCAGCACTCCAGGCTCCCACTCAGGCTCCTTTTCTTCAGGCTGTGTATCCCGATGTAGAGCCTGTAAGCTCAAATGCAAAAGCATCTTTCAACCAACAGCACCAGCATCTGCCTGTGACGATAAGCGTGAACAGCATTCAACCCACAAGGTCCACAAGTGGTCAAGAGTATACTATATAGTACCATATAGTACCATGAAACAATCGCTATGCGCAAGCATAGAACGGGCTGTATATATAATAATATATATATATATTATATAGGCCGTTTCTTTTGGACAAGACACGTCTGATCTTTGCTCTGTGCATCTCGATCATGGCTTGGACCAGCGGGACCTAAACGGACTGCTGAGGTTTCATGTCACACTGTCCGTTATTGGTGCTTCACTTCCAGCACACAGTTCAATCACCCTCAGCCTTTTCGCACCTGAGGCAGATTCGAACAATTTAGCAAGTGGCGTGTTTGCTGTACACAAGGGTGTCTATGCATGTCTGGGCCCTCTCGGCTTCATCTTTACAGGTCGAAAACCAAACGAATGCCTCCAAAGGTCGGCGGAACCGAGTGGGCACCTTGTCTCGGCAATCCTAGCAGCTCCTATGAATCCAGCCAAAGCCCGTTCACACAATCTCCAAGGACTTCTTATGATTTCTTTTGGGCAATAAGTAGCATGTAGTTCTGCAGAATGCTTTCAACACATTGTGAACAGGTTTTGGATGTTTCAAGACCTTCAAATGCCAAGACCCAAAGACCTCGCCAGGTTTCTTGCTGTGGTGTCCGGCCGTCTCAAGGCCAAAAGCTCTGCCTGGTGCCTAGCTAGCCTCATCATTTCTCTCAGCAACTCGTTTACACTCTACAACTCATTTTGAGGTCCTTCACGATCCGTTTCTTCATGTCCTTTCCCTGATGTATGCAAGTCAAATCCATGATGCAAACGAAAGGCACAAAGGCAAAGGAATCTACCACGTGAACTCGAGTAGGAGTGTGGGGCAACATCATGCAGTTAATTACTGTAACACCTCCACAACTACGGAAGGTGTCCTTGTACTTGCTGTAATCACTCGATCAATCCGAATGGAGCTTCATCACAAAAATGTCTTCACCTCCATGGAAGCTGGCATTGTCCAGGGACCCTTGTGTGGACCCCACGAGAATCACATCAGGTCCACTCAACTGCATAGCGCGCACATAGTCCCAGTGCTCACTACCACGTTGATGAGTCCAAAGCCAATCCCCCGACCGGTCGAACACCATAACAAAAATATCTGAACCTTGGCAAGTCAAGTGTCAAAACCTCCTCTGACTTACTTTGAACAACATGCACAACTTCTTGCCATTGCCCAAAGCATTCTTACCTCACACATGTACCACAATGTTCTTTCATTGTATGAGCAAATAAGAGCGCTTGGGCTTTTCAGACCAACTTGGGAAAGCTTTCCCCCCACAGAAAGAAGCAAACAGCAAGATTTGTGATGCCTCAAGACTGCCGTAGTAAATCCGTAGTAACATAAATAAGACGATTATGAAGGCCATCATATTGTGTCACCAACTGCAGCGGGGTACTGTTGATTCTTTGGTCTGCTCTGCTGTTCTGTTGCTTCAGGAGCACTTTCTCAACTCCAATCTTCCTGAGAGCCCCTTCTGAATGGAAAATAGACATCTGGTGGTTAGGGGCAATGTCTTTTTCTTCAAGAACTGCCTTTTCGGTGGCACATTCTTCTACTTCGTGGGTGTACAACGTCTTTGCACTAGGACAACTTCTCTCTCAAACCAATGTAAAAGTTTAGGGCTTTCTGGCTTCGTTGGATTGGTTAGGACATGAATTCTGCTTCAGGTTATATACAGCGGGCTGGCCCTTCACGTCCTCTAGCAGCCCTATGTTCTGTCTGTTTCTACTCTATATTATAACAAATGAGAGCTGTGGGCTGTGGTAGGCTTTTGCAAGATTGGCAAAGATCCTTTGAGGCTTAAACCAAAGAATATCAAATTGTGGGTCGCTGCGCTTTTGGATCCTCCCTCTACCAACGAAATGGCATATGCATTCAAGGTGCGTCTGAAAGTACGTGTTACATAAAAGATGCACACATATGCAAACTGCCGAGGCACTTCCAGCATGCTGATTGCCGTCAAGAGCGCCACCACTGTAACCTGCAACAACACTCCTGTCGAAGTCATCAATTTCCAGAGCCCACGCAGCATCAAAACGAGGGGTCCCGCGTTGTTGGGTCCACTGCCATTGTCCATCTTCAGCAAACTTCATTAGAAACATATCGGAGCTCCCGGCATGGACACACCCATCAAGAGAGCTCGTGGTTTCTCCTGCAATGAGGATGTTGCCTTGGTTTTCGCTGGTGGGACGGCCCATAAGTAGGCCGGCCCATGCAGGATGACGGATGAGCAAGACGGGACCGTCACCCTTTGTTACAAAATAGAACTACTAAGACTATATGTAAACAGATGTAAACAGATTGGCTCCACTGGTTGTCTCTGCTGGCCTAGCTGCCCAATGAATCCAGTTTCATTGCCATGGCTTCATCGTCTCCTGTGCCACCATGCTGTTGCGTCCATTTCCAATCACCTGTCTTGTCGAACATCGCCAGAAAAATATCCTTCCCGCCAGCATTGCCGTGCCCGTCCAGATCACCCATTGTATGTCCAGCGACCAAGACATTCCCCCGACGGTCCTTTCTATGCCATATGCAAGCACTGTAAAGCGTTTGAAAGGGAATGGCAACAAACATATCAAATCATATTAGCATAAAGGAATAAACAAACATTAAATTTGATATTAAGCATAGCACTTGACACTACCGGTGACAATGCTGCTTGGCTGGTATAAAAGATTCCACCTGAACAGCTTGTGCGTAATCGTACAAATCGCTCCCACGTTGCTGAGTCCATTGCCAACCCCCATCAGCAGAAAACTTCATGAGGAAGAAATCGGACTCTCCAGTATGAGTGTTGCCATCCAACGCTCCCCCGGTGTATCCTCCAACTAACTGCACTCCAACAGCAAAACTGAAGAGTTGCTGCAAGCACTGGTCGTCGGACAGAACAAACGATTTGCTTCTGGGAAAACTATACACTCATATCATATCCCACAAAAAAGTCAAAAACACATGTTCAAGTCATTGCAGGCTCCAGCCAGAAAAATGTTGCCAACAGTGTCAATGTCCAGTGCGCGCGCATAGTCCCACGAACTAGTACCCCTTGCCTTTGTCCAAAGCAATTTGCCAGAATTGTCAAACTTGGAGAGGAACACGTCAGAGCTGCCCACGTTGGCATTCTGGTCCAGGGATCCAAATGTATATCCTGAGATATGGTGAAAAGATGTGAAAAGCTTTCGCATCCAACCGTGGTTCACAAATGCAGCAAGTATGTTGATGAAACTCAAACTCCGAAGACGAATGAGCAAAGCCGGTCAACAAAGCTTGCATAAAACAAATTTGCTGTGGAACGTGAAGCAAGTGCTCAGGCATGAGATAGCTGCACGAGCATGGATCGATTTTGGCAAAGCTTGAATCCACAAAACACAAACCATTTTAACACATCCCATGAGCTCTTCAAACAATGGAAACAGGCTCTACAAAAACCGGTGGATGCATGGGAGAACCCAATCATGACATAATGAAATTAAAGCTCCGGCCAGAAAGATGTTGCCCTCGTCATCGGACTTCAGGGCTCGTGCATTGTCGGAGGCACTGCTGCCATGCTGCCGTGTCCAGTGCCAATGGCCTGATGTATTGAACTTCATAAGAAACACGTCTCTGGAGCCTGCGAAGGTGTTGTTGTCCAAAGATCCCGTGGCATCGCCAGTCACGACTATGTTGCCAGATTTGTCCACCTTGGATCTCCTTCTGCTTATCAACAATGTTCATTAGCAGCATTAGCCGTCTTGCCTGTGGGGAAGTGGCAACATCAGAGTGGGAGTTTGGACATTCGGACGTAGTCAACCCCATGTGATCCGCAAATAATGAATGTAGCAATGAGATGCAATGAATAACGTGCTGTAACATGGGGTACAGTACTCGTCTTGAGTCTTGGCTGCCTATCTGTTTGGTCGAGGCACATTCACGGCTGCTGCATAGTCCCAAAAGCTGGTCCCACGCTGCGCTGTCCAAATCCAGGACAAATGGCCGGCTGCACCCCAAAGACCTCGTGTTCAGAGTCATTCAAAGTTTTGTCCACTGCTTTACACCTTCTTGACACTTCATGCAGCTTTTGGTCAACGATAGTCGTCTCATTGAAAGCAAAATCGACAACAATGACGATCAATGATCTGAAGGTTTTGCCAAGCACCACCAGACACAAATTACTATCCGACATCTAGACCATGTCTGTGTATGGACAAGGTACAAGTGGCGACAAGTGAAAAGAAGTGGACAGCGTGAGTCATGGGTAGTCTGTAGTCTCAAGGCGTGTGTTGATCGCTGACCATGTGAACACAAATGGTCTAATTTTGGAGATTCAAGAGAACAATTTCACAATGTCACTAGCTTCAATGCCATTTGCTGGAAAATTTAGCAAGGCCTTGTTCCGTTATAGATAGTATAGTGACTTCTCGCTGCTATATTTGCAATATGCTGGCTGTTGCAGCTGGATGCATCGGTTGTGTTTGAGCCAAAGAAACAGCAAGGTTTGATATAAAGATAAAACTGCCCGAACTGTTGTTATTGATGTAATGCGTGCCAGCCGCCTCTAGAGGAACATGCGAAAAGGAAACCAGGGCAAGCCTTGTGCATCATTGAATGGATGCAGTCGTCTCAGAGAGATGGTCTTGCCAAAAATACATATATTAAATCTGATAATAAGCATTGAAAACTGGAGCATTGCAGGTCTCAGAACTCTGAGTCTGCGCACATCCACACTCTTGGCATCGCGGCGCTCGATACTACGACTAAGAACCCCAAAGACCTGGGCAGCCGGTGCTCTTCAAAAGCCAATGGTTGGAAGGCACATGAGCTATTTTGTCCATAGTTAGTTCCGTTCCAACTGAGGCCAGTCACACCTTTTCATCAATGTTTGGAGAGTCATTCATTCAGTGTTTCCGACAACAACCTGCAAACTAAACTACAATACTTTGACTGAGACATCCATGGAACATCAATTGTAGACATGAGTTCCTTTGTTCCATGAGTTGGGTGTATCTGAGAATGCGATTTGATGAACAGCAAAAAGACACCACATAGATGCAGTAAAGAAATACACATATAATGAAAGAAACAAAGGAACAATTAAGTAATTCCAAAAAAGACTAAAGGTTACAAGGAACTTAATTTCCCTGCATGGGAACCGTTTCCTTGCGACTACTAGCTTCCAGGTTTACTAGCCACCCCTTCTAATTACCCCTCCTGAAGGCCTACCCACTAGCCCACCCCAAGAAAACAAAACCAAATTTTACATTACATTCCTTTAAACAATCTCATCCCAGGGAAATGCCAGTTGAGCCAGACCTTCAGAGGTTCTTTCTCATCGCCGGTGATCTCCGTAGGGACTTCGATGGAAGATGCCTGACACGGCTGATGCCATGTCGCCGCAAGCGTTCAAGGTAATAGGTACGGTTTTATGCCAATGTAGTGGTTGTTACGACAAACCCAAAGAAGGCGGAACGAACAAAATGCGTTTATTTGCGTGAGTGCCATGGAGGCTCTTGATGGAAGGTTCAATAGATCTGATTAGCAGGACAAGGCTGCCTTTGCGCTCGGGGTTCATGATGTATGTTTTTGTCATGATGTATCTATAGGGTCTATGCATCTCCATTGTGTGAGTGTGTGTCCATGGGAATCTTTTATTTCCAACCTGGTCTACGGGTTCGCGGTCGCTTTGGTCAACAAACACACCCAACCAAGCTAGGAGTGTCCAAGACTAGCTCCCCAAACCGCAGTCCCAAAAAAAACAAAAAACGTGTTTGACTTTTTGGAATTACAATGCACCTACTAAACTATATACTGTAAATCCTTGTGTCAAAAGGATACCAACAACATCATGAACTACATGATAACCTGCCTTCCCGGCTCCTGAATAGGCTTAAAACATCGAGGGGTCCTGGGTTCGCAGTTCACATTTTCATTTGTTCAAGCTCGATCATTGCGAACTGTTGACTTCATGTGTTCTTAACTATTGGAATGGTTTCGGCATAGCTGTAGCTCTTAACAGTGCGCGTTCTTCTCACGGCAAGGCAAACAGCTCAGTTAGTTCCTGCCGTGCTGATAAAGGTTATATCATGTATTATCATGTTATAGTCTGGTTATATAACAGGGCTGGCAAGAAAACGTTGCCGCAATTGCAGAAACGGAGTTGCTGGTTTCTTTAAGCGCAAACCCAATGCCCCAACCAAAGCACACATCAAGCCGCCCAGGCCGCACCTCATCTGCTTCAACGATCGTGACCCAGTCCCGGATGGTCTGAAGCACGTTTGAGCAGACCTCGTCCAAACGACATTTCCACATTGTTCTAATACCTGCGAATACATTGCTACAAAGCAATGTTGGGCCTGCGCCTCCTACTTGGAACCAACACGTTCTGTACCTCTGATGCCCTGGTGGTGCGGCGCCTTCGGAGGGGGACAACAGACCCTACTTGGCTTGCTGTGCTTGTTGTCCCTCCTTACCATCGATCCGCTTCACAAAATGGGCATGGCTGGAAGCTGGGCGCTTGTGTGCTGCCTTGCCAAGTGCTCCACCTTTTTCTGCTCAGCCTGCTGCACCACCCTCTTTGCACGAGCCTCGCCTGCACTCTTTGCTTGAAACTCTGCACGCCACTGTCGAGCTTTAGCCCCCGACTGGGCACTTAGTGCTAAGCGGGCAGAAGATTTGGGCGAAGCTGAAAAATTTGAGTTATTGGTGCTCAAGTGCCTTTTTCTGCAACTCATCGAACGACTGAGCAAGTGGTAAGAAAAATTTGAAAGTTTCAAGCACTTCTCCCACCGTTCGCCGAAGGGATGTCACTGCTGTAAGGCTTTGTCTGGGTGGCAGGCCTGTTCCTGTTAGTGTTGCTTTTCACCATCTGGTCCACATCCATGCTGGAGGAAAAAGGAAGCGTGGTTCGAAGGACAAGTCTCAGTCTTGAACAGCAGCTCTGGCACATGCTTGTCTTGATGCTGCTCACCCTTCCCCAAACCCCCCGGGCTCTTGAGGTCATTGCTGAATCATTGACAGGTCTTGGCACCTTTTTTACATGCAACCCCCACTTCCAATACCATTAGCCAGGGCCCCTGCTGCATCCACTTTGTACCTGGCTCAGCAAGTAGGTTGGGCTTTCCGTATAGGCCAAAGAAGTACAAGTAGCACGCCCAAACTTTGGGGTCACCCCAAGGCCCAATGCTACCCCGGCTGTGCCATTTGTAAATACGGGCCATGGATCGTTGAACGCAAATTGAACTAGTGTGCTCAGCCTGCCAACGACTGGAATCATATTATACAAAGTGACAGCTGACACTGAAGGAGGTTATTAGGCAATTCTGGACTTGCAACTAATCCCGAGTACCCATTATAAAAATGGACCCCTAGTCAACAAAAAAATCATGTCGGAAATACCTCAATACGGCTTATATTCGTTTTTACATTACCGCCCTTTCAGGCCGCTACTGAACTACCAACATTGCCGATTTTGGAGGAGTCTTTTAAATTAGGTTCCAAAAGCAACCGTAACTGCCCACCTCTGTCCGCCCTGTCCACCAGCAGGCTTTCCTTCCCCCAATGGCACGGACTCACGCAAGCGCACTTGCCACCGAGGTCATGCATCACCGCATGGCACAGCGACATCACCTTTCGACAGCTTTAGCTGTTGGTATACTGAAGAATCACTATTCTAATGAAGGTTTTTGTAGGGGAAAAGGAAAGACCCTTCGATCTGTAGGTTTTTTGAATTTTTGATATGAGTTTAATAAAGGATTTAACATTTTCCTGGGTTACTTTTTGGTTTTGAAGCTCTTCCCAGGTGACACTATTTTGGACAACCTGATTTCAGGGACCCCCTATTAAGAATAATGCGACCGCGGTTTCCTTATTACGGGGGGGACCCCATGTTTTTTACTAGGTGGACCGGATTATATTACTATTTGTTATGTTTGGAATTGCACCAACGCTAGGCAAATCATGGTCTTGAGAATGCGAGTGGAAAACGGCGTTTTTCAAATGTCGGACTTCTCGACTCACTGGGCACTTCTTCAGGGCACCCGCTGCTTTGGCCAAAAGAATATTGGGATTGGTCCTAGGTCAAGGGCAGCAGCATTTTTTTTGTATGTATGCCACATGCAAGTACAGCAAAGCTTGCCAAAGTCCGACACGAAGGGTCATGGGCGAGCAAGTGTTCAACAAATCAAAATCAAATACCTTGCGCTTTGTTTGGTGGATCATTAGCAAACTGGCAGGAAGCTGCTGAAGGGTGCGGCGCAGCTGCATTGAATGACTCACAGAACCAGTACCCCGAATCTCAATTCTTTTGAAACCGAGGATTGGTCCACAAGGAGGTATGTTTAGATATGCGCAGCATTGCGCAGCCATTTCCCTTGACTGCACCCCGACATCAAGGCCCAGGCTCCAACTTGAAGGAAAATATGAAGGCCTGTCCGCGTGCAAATCGTGTTTGGTCACTTTCCACATGGAACTGTGGAAGCAAAACCTCCGCATTCAATCAAAAGTTATATAAGTTTCCCCCAAACTCTAGGAACCAATCATTAGGGGGAGCTTCCATGAAGAAGCCTGAGCCTAGCCTGCGTGCAAGATTGTATTAGCTTCCTGCCACACTTACTAGCAGCCTACCCGTCTAAATAGTGGTTCAATTCAAGTTTACAGCAAACCCAAGTATATTGTGATACTATTGGTATTTATATACATCATACATCCATCTAGAAACACTCTGGAAAACAAACACAAGAAAATACAAGAACACATCTTCCTCATCTGTCGCGCCTGAGGTGCCCAAGTTCGGACCGCACCAAGCCTGCTGGTTTGGGAACAACGAGCCGGACAAAAAATAGCACACCAAACAAACACCTACTAACTACATAGATACACATATCCGTTGACTCCAGCTGTGGTGGGGAAGCGCACCAGAGAAGTTCAGCGGTGGTGGTATATTACAAACATACAAGACACATCTTCGGTCCTATAAGTTGCTGTTGTTGTTGCCAGCTTGATGTAGTTTGGTTGTTGACCAATTTTGGCAAACCGCAAACCGCCTAGAATAAATGGACCTTGACCGAAACGACAGAATTCTCAGAGATCGTGTAATTTGCATATATAAAGCCCAAGAACAAGGCTCAGGCACCCTGTCTGAGAGGCAGGGGTTTCATCTTCGTGACAATTAGCCCTAACATAGTTTTCCACTCAGGCATTTGAATGCTTAGCGGGGGGCATGATGTTGAGTAGTTCCGACCAAAGATCCTCTTTCTTG